AGCATGTAAATGTAAGATAGGAGAGCGGCCTCCTCGACGAGGGCACGGAAGTGGCTATGCTAATGTGAGAGATTAGCATGATGTTAATGTGAGAAATTAGAGGGCACGGAAATGGTTATGTTAATGTCAGAGATTAGCATGATGCTAATGTCAGAAATCAAATCAAGATTTTTTAATCTAGTTTGAAAACTGATTTCTTTAGAACTGCTTTTTGTGTTTAGTTTATTGTCCTTGCCCCCACCTCCGACTAGGACGGTTGGCTACGTACGGCATGAAAGAAGTTCAACATTCGTAATACACTGCACTTGTACGCGCGTGCAGGGCCAGATTAAGGTTCTTGTAGGCCCTTCTATTGTGTGGGCCTTCAGTGATAACTTTCTACAGTTATTGCTGCTCATGTTGCTACCGCCGCTCCTGCTCGCTTGTTTCACACGTACTTCGTCCAGGACAGATGTTGTTACTAATACGTTCATTATTTAGTCTGTGCCCTAATTCGGTGGGAACGCGCTGAGTGCCACATAAATCTCGAAAGGTTAATCTCCGGTGTTAATTTCTCTCACCTTGTGAAAAAAATAGATTGACATGACTTTGCCTCTTTGTATATACGCTATGCCTATCCTTGCTATATACATGTATTTATTCAAGGAGATATCTTGATTACATTTTTGTTATCATACAAACCAAAAAAACACGGTCAAAATCTTTTCATAAGCCCTTTAGATTTCGTAGGCCCTAGGCACAGTGCCTATTGTTTGTATGATTAAAAATGTAACCAAGATCTTATTGAAAAAATATATATTTATATAGCAAGGATATGTATATATAATACGGCGATGCGTGCGTGCAGCAAGAGCCCACGCTGTGCGCACCATGGCTCACGGAGACACAGGCCGGAGTCCTCCATCACACAATCACTGCAGAGGGCCCGCTTCTTTCAGCCGCAACCAACAGCGCGTGCTGCTCCCCCATCAAATAATACACATTCATTTCTCTCGGACCCGTCTGGCAAAAAAAACGCCCCCGTTTCCAACACATTCGGGATGACTTTGCGGCACTTAACTTTCTTTAATACACCTTGGTTGTCGACATTAATCCCCGCAGGTGGCTTTCCTTGCCAAATGTGCACGCAAAAATGCTTTCTGCCGGCAAATGGGTACAAAATGTTAACGTATTATGGTCGTTTTCACCGAATTGCAGCTACTTGAACCCGATGTCAAGCTGTAGCCCCGTTGAAATCACCATGGGGTTGTGCACGATACATAAACGAGCCTGCAACCTGCAGTTCTCCATAACGTGGGATTGGATTTCAGCTCGTTGAACCAATTTAGTAAAGATTTGTGAGGTCTGTTTTGAATTACGGATTTTAGTGTACAAGCGAGCACCAGTCTCGTCTGTGAATGTGCTGTGCTGCTTCTGAACATCTGTGGACATCTCTGAAAACGTGCTGTAGAGCTCATCGGATTCCTCCAGTATAAATCAATATTCTGATTCTGAACGGTTTGCGTTGGCTTCTCCAGTGCTCCTGACAGACACGAAGCCACTGTCCAGCCACTGGACCAAACCCCTGGTTGGCATGATCCCTGGTAAAAGGAACGAAATGGGCCCACCCTTCCTGTCCAATTTCACCCACTCTTTGTAACCAAGTGCCTGAGCCCCTCCGGCACTTGACCCGGAGTGCAAATGCACCACCTGCATCCTCGATAGCCATGCCACTGCCCGACACTCTGTTGCCAGCCATTAGTAAACACAGCAGATATCTGTAGAAAGTAGGGCGCTTTGAGGAGGGACGCCAAGAGCTGCCTGGCCCTGCTTAATTTGGCAGCTGTATCATCATCTTGGTTCTTTCGGTAAAGTCACGTAGAAGGGAAATAATAACGTAATAAAAATAAAACATACTAAAATATTTTTTATGTTTTATTTTTATTATTTTATTATATGTTTTAATAAAAATGAAACATAATAAAATATTTGTTTTATGTTTTATTTTATTATTTCCCTTCTACGTCACTTTACCGAAAGAACCAAGAAGATGAATCCCTGCAGTCACGAAAGCTTTAAATCGAAATTTGGCAGCTGTATGTACGCTGAACTTCTTTTGCACTGCACGTCGCCAACCGTGGTAATTCCCGAGGTGCTGCATGAAGTTGCACATTTTCTGAGGTGTTGTACCTCAGAGTAGATGCTCCCTTCTCGTAATTGTTTATCTTACACTACTGTTTGCACACATGCCATTTACGTGACACGTGAACGCATCCACTTGTAATGAAATGACAGAACCCATGAGTAAATCACCCTAAATGCGCCGGACGTCGTTAGATTACCTAAAGTTTGGCTCGGTTGAGCCTGGTTAGTACCTGGATGCGTGACTACCACGGCTTGCCACGTGTTGCAGGTGTGGGGATATATGTGTAAAGGAGAGCCGACACAAAATTGCAGGGGTTTCGTCTTTTAATCCTTTTCTCCCATCCACACCTGTCCCCAGCCGTCCCAATCTCGTTCCCGCCAAAGGCCCCTTCTTCCCGCCCGTTCTCCCCTCATATCCCCTCGATCACCCCTCCCACTAACCCTCCTATTGGTGGGAATCCTTCCCCTGACACCCCTACATATGCACTCATTGGCTAGCAATGAATACAAATTAACTCCTGAAAGTATTTTCTGTGTCTTGGGTGGCTACGTTTTTTGCCCACTTTTCTGTCCAGCATTTCCATAAACCCCAAGGAACAATAGGTTTATAATTGGATGGGACATAAAGAGTATGAGCTCTGCTGTTATGGCCTGAATTTCTCCGCTGAGTCCCTACTTAGGAAGGGGGGCGTGGTTGTGCGCATGGTGGCTGGATCATCTCAGTCTGTGCCAGGGCATTGGAGCAGTTCCTATTGTGTCTTAAATCTTTCCAATTGCCCGGGAAGTGCAGCATTACACACTTGAACAATCAATCAGTCCTTGACCCAGAGACTTGTCGTACATTCTTGTCTCCCTGATTTAATCTTCTGCTGTATGTAAACAAACCTGAAGTAGTCGGTTACATTTTCCCACCATATATGGAAAGATTGTTTTAAATGTGTCTGTTATTCTATATATATATAAAAAAAACGAACTTAACAGGTTTCTCATTATCACTGCCTTATAACCGCACACAATATAGAATGCTGACGTTCCAGTCAATGACATACTAAAATGAGTGAATTGAGACTAATTTCAGCCCTTTGTTAATCTACTTGCTGGATGTTTTGTCCATACTTCACCACGCTAGTCAGTGCGACTTGGTAAAGTGGGGGACCCAGGGTGGTCCAGTTATACTGGTAGGAACCCACTGGTTCCTCCAGCCCACAGGGGATTATTGTGTTCGTTCGTCGTGCAGGGAGGGGCTGGGTGGGGAGGGGCTGTGGGGAGGGTGGGGAGGGGCTGGGTGGGGAGGGTGGGGCTGGGTGGGGGGTGGGAGGGGTGGGGCTGGGTGGGGAGGGGCTGGTCACCCCGTGGTGCCCTTATAAAACTCAACGTTTAACCTACTCACGCCGGCTTGTGCCCGCCCTCACAATCGGGTATATTTGCGGAATACACCACGCCGCCGTTGACCCTCGCCATTGACCGAGCAACCCAACGTTCCTACCAGCTCCCTCCGCAGGAATGTGTTCCCTGGCTACTGTGGCTAGGGATAAAACTAAAGTCTTCCGAGTTCACAGTGCAGTATTTTAACCTTTGTGCCACTACTCCCCTACCAATGGCCTACTATATTCTAATATACGTATATACATACATTTCTTTCTTGTATAATTGAGTGTTATAAACAAAACTAGTCTTTTTTATTGTACTTGCATACCACTACTAATACAGTCCCTTAATATCTGTAATTTTATAATTTTGCTGAAAGCTATGCAGGATTCCAGATGACTTTTTTGTGTGCAAACATATCCAATACGCAGAAATACGCCTCTTTACATGTAAATCCACTCTCAGCGTCGTCGAACACTTTTAAATATGATAACAAAGGAACTTCACGCAGCTTATGTCAAGATCATAAATCTACGGGTTCTACAAATAGTGGTGGCCAGGTGAGGAAGCCATGTGCAAAAAACAAGATTAAACTAGGGACACGCTGGGTGGCCCTTGAGGCCCCGACAAAGTCGATATGTCTAACTAACGGCCTCAGGTCCGTTGACACGACATGCTGAAGTGCTAGTCCCACAGTGCTTCAGGCCGTTTGTGGGTGTGCGCGTGCTGATGAAGAGGTGGAACGGAGGACTCGTTTGTCAAGCAGGGCTAATCGAGACGTTCTGAGGGTGACGCAGATCATCTGCAATGCGGTGGCTGCGTGGGAGCTTGTCTCCCCGCTTGTAGATTTTGGGATTTTAATGAAGCACTGAGCCAAGCCCCACGTTGGTGTCTGCCATTTGAAACAAACGAGGAATGTGAACGATGCCTGCTTGAGACCTCTTCACTATTCATCCTCCACTTATTACCTGGCAGTCTGTTACAGTGTTGTCGTGCAAGTGCTTGTGCATTAATCATGAAACGTGCGAATTAAAATAAATGGTTTAATCAGCGTACTCAGTGATTATCATGACGGTTTGTAAGTGAAATTTGACATGCAGGCTTTTGCGACAAATATGATTCATAATAGATTTTTGGGTCAGATCGCGTACGGTTTATAATTTGCAATGTGACCCCTAATATTAACAAAGTAAATAACGTGACCGCAAATGAATAATGGATGTGGAACAGCACTTCAAAGAGACAGGCCTGTTGTCGTAAATTTTGATTTAAAAAAATCGTGATATATTCCTTTTTCTTGATGGCATTTTTATTCCCTTTCATTTTTCAAAACAAACGAATGACATTACTGAAGTAGCAGCTATAAATACAGCGCCATCAATTTGACAAATGCGATTTTAAATCGATCGCCGGAGCCACCGCGTTATTTTCTTCAACGCGTTGGCGGTTCTGTCGGGGTTACTTGGTGTCCGGAGAATAAAGTGGTTTTCCTTTATTTGTTTTCCCAGCGTCGCTGCTCAAGGGGCTGAAGCACGCCAACATCGTCCTCCTGCACGACATCATCCACACGCGGGAGACGCTCACCCTGGTCTTTGAGTATGTGGTGAGGCTACCCTCACCGCGCCACCCACCCCCTCGTCCTGGCCCCCCTCCCCCCATCGCTCCGTGACCTTCGCCAAAACGCGGCCACATGCACCACCACCACCACCACGTCTACTCCGTTTGCCCAGTGTTGGATGTCCTTGACCACTGTTCAAAACTTACAGTGGCGATATAATCAGAAAAAGAAATGCCGGGGTGAAGGTGCGGTTCTGCAAATTACGTGCTCACACCACTGCTGGCAGAAGAGCCTCGCAGAGCCCCTGAGGGCCGTTCCAGAATAATACAAACAATAGTAATACTACTACTACTACTTTTCACCCACTTTGTCAATCACCTGCTGGATGAAAGCCCCTCCATACCTTTCGATTTAAAGCTTTCGTGACTGCAGGGATTCATCTTCTTGGTTCTTTCGGTAAAGTCACGTAGAAGGGAAGTAATAAAATAATAAAAATAAAACATAATAAAACAATTCTCACGACGTTTCGGCCACAACGCAAGCAGCCGTCCTCAGGTGAAAACCAGGTCCGTCGAGGCGACAGAGTCTGAATGAAACAGCACACGAGCTTGGAGCATATATATAAGCTGGGCGCATTGACAAAGGAATTTGCATATCAAAAGGAATTTAGCATATTTATGGGAAATGCAGGAATGTGATCCCATAAATATGCTAAATTCCTTTTGATATGCAAATTCCTTTGTCAATGCGCCCAGCTTATATATATGCTCCAAGCTCGTGTGCTGTTTCATTCAGACTCTGTCGCCTCGACGGACCTGGTTTTCACCTGAGGACGGCTGCTTGCGTTGTGGCCGAAACGTCGTGAGAATTGTTTTATTATGTTTTATTTTTATTATTTTATTACTTCCCTTCTACGTGACTTTACCGAAAGAACCAAGAAGACCCCTCCATACCGTGTCATTCGTGTAGGTTGTTTAACCATACTTCATCATGCTGGTCAGTGTGGGTTGGTGTAGGGGAAGGCAAGGGCTGGGTTAGATATCAGTGGCCAGGAATTGAACTCGGGTTGCCGAGTTTACAGCGGAGTTCGCTAACCACTGGAACAATATGCATTGTCGAGTTTAACGATTCACGCCCCTTGCTAACCTATGAAATGTCACGATGGAGGGTTCTAAAGTCAATTCAATAATTGATTCTCATCATCATCTCGTTATTTGCTACTCTTTATCTTGTTTGTTGTGTTTTACAACTGTTTCATTTGTTCAGCTTTGTTTGCCCTATCAACATAAATGTAACGGTAGCATATATTTGTTATAAATTGTATATCATTTATTTTTTACATGCACAATTTTACACGCATGTCATGAGCATAATACACTCCTTTCATCCATGAATCACCTAACGTGCCTAACAAAGATCATGTCATATCATTGAGTCAAACATTTATCGTATCTTTTAAATACGTGATAATTTTTAAGCATAGAGTAATAAAATGTATGAAATGTGTGCATATCTCTCTATCTTTATGCGTGTCTGTGTGCGCGTGTGTCATTGTGTGTGTGTGTCATCGTCTGTGAGCACATATCTGCGTGCGTGTGTGTGTGTCTGTCTGTGTACGCGTGTGTGTGTGTATCTGTGTGCGTGCCTGTGTCTGTGTGTTTTTGTGTTTGTGGATCTGGGCAGCACACCGACCTCTGCCATTACATGGAGAAGTACCCTGGAGGCCTGCACCCTCACAATGTGAAGGTGAGTGACGTCTCGAAGAGCCACGCCACTTGTCTCTTTCCTCTTCCTCCTCCTTCACCTCGTTCCGAATGTAAGGGGTCATCGGCGGCTCTGCTCTCCACTCCGCCCTGTTTGGGGCGTCTTCCTGCCTTAGACCAACACTCGCCATATCTTCCCAGATCTTATCTCTCCGTCTCATCTCTACCCTGCCTGTCTTCTGTCTCTTGCCTTGCACGTCCCATCAGCAGGACTGTCCGTCGCACATTTTCTGGATCTGTCCTCAGGATGAGTCGCCAACATCTCCGCTGCGCTTCTCTCGTCTCTTCATTGTGTGCTGCTACCTTCATCGGTTATCTCAACTTCTCATTACTAATTCTATCTGCTCTTGTTTTTTTTCTCGACTGTGTGCAACATCTGTCCCTCTCTTCTTCGCGGTGCTTGCATGTACCCATTTATTTATTCAAGTCTGTCACCCCCCAACGAACATGAAAGCGATATGTTAACCGTGCTTACACGATCACTCTCACTGAGTGTAAACAACAAGATGGTAAAACAACAACAGCAGCAACAACAACAGTATTCTTAGGTTTTTTCGGTAAAGTCACGTAGGTAAAAAATTAAAATTAATAAAAGTAAAATAAAAATAAAATAAAAATAAAAATCACGACGTTTCGGAGGCAACACAAGCCTTTATTTTTATTTTATTTTTATTTTACTTTTATTAATTTTAATTTTTTACCTACGTGACTTTACCAAAAAAAATCAAAGAATATGAATCCTTGCAGTCACGAAAGCTTCAAATCTAGAAACAACAACAGTGTTGTTGCCCCACATTTAGCCATCCGGTATTACCGCGCGGGCTGAGTTTCATTTGCATGCCGGTGCTGTTGAACGTTCCGATGAACTATGTGCGACATCCATGGGCATAGACCAAACACACTTGAGCAGAAATATTCCATGCATGGTTTAGTTTTTTACTGAAACTTTTCCATTCGCTGAAGGAAAGAAACAGAATTGTACAGTGTATACCAGTAAAAAAAGTATATATATAAGCAATTCGATCATGAAATGCAACTCGAGTTTGTTCCGCGTAAAAGTTTATTAAGTTATAGCTTATGCAGATGTGGTTGTTGATTCACCCAGGAATTTGTCGTTTGGTTTTATTTTCTTTTTCGGGAGAATACGAATGTGTAACAAAACAAAGTACAGATTTCAAGATTCAGCATTCGAGTCTTTGCGGAGACTTCCCTTGGATTCGCATGCTCCAGTTCCCATGTTATAATGAGAAACAAATGTTGAGATGTGAGATAACATTCCATTGCATAGCTCAGACATGGGAAAGAGTCCTTAACACAGCAAGCTGCCAGCATTACGGACTTTACCTAAACATTAGCAACTGTAATTGTGCCAAAACAACACACACATAGACGGTATGTGTATACACATCATATACACACACACACAAAGAATGTGCAATTAACATGACGGCTACGGAGTCAGCTGAATTTCTAGGCACATGTGCGCACACTGTACGCTGCGATCCCAAGAGCCACTTCCATTAACCGGCAGAATGTCTCACAGCCATTTCAAAGTTATAACTTGTTTAACCATAAAAATTCTTGTACACTTTATCTAGTTAAATGTTTGCAGTTTTTTTTCGAATAAGCAACTCTTACTATACAGTAGTGTAAACAAAGTGAGTTGCTCGGTGTGGCTTCGAAGGATGCTTCAAGTGTGTGCAGCGAAACGTTGGATATCGCACCGTAACGACCTGCCGCGTTACAACCCAGAAACGCAGCAACATCCGAAGAGGTGTAAAGCCATTTGACCAAGGTGTTGAGTTTCGTCAAAAAGATAGCAAAAGGCAAACCGTTGCGGATAGTGGCATAGAAATCGAGTGTGAAGGCCGGTGCAACTGCACCGTGGCCCACGGGCTGGAAGGGCCAAGGGGCCCGGGCTATGAAGGGAGGGGGGGGGGTGGATGTGACAGGTGGCCCCACTTAATTCAATGCAACAGGGCCCATGCCGACCATGCTACAGTGTGGTCAAATAACCCCCATGACCCACATGGCATGACAAGGCCCTCATCCAGCGGGGGATTGCCAAGAGGGCTTTACAAGAGTACGGACACATCATTATCATCATTTAAGTCAAGATGAGAACCCACCGAGATGTGTTTTACTGAAGCAGACGTCGAGGACAATTAATATTCGTGAACAAAAAAAAGATGTAACACCATATGCCCAAAAAAAAAATGGAATTTGATAATTAAATCAAGCATGCACAAAATTATAATATAATGAGATAATGCAACAATGAGCTTTTGTTACACTGAATATTAAAACCGTTCCGGAAAATATGTGCATTAAATCAGGTCGTGTACAAGTACGAGAGATGGATTGTCGCAGCATGATGAGAGATGGCGACGGCTTGGGGAGGCCTTCGTCTAGCTATGGTTATGCCTGAAGATGATGATGATGATGTACACTAAAGAACAACTAATGTAAAAATGTCTAAAGGTGGTTATATTAGTATCAATGCCAAGCTGGTCATATTGCGTGCGCAACGTGGAGGCTTGGTTGAGATTAGAGCTGGGACGATTGGTCAATAAAGTTGACTTAACGAGTACAAAAGTACGATCGACTACTTTATTGGCCATCTCAGCCAAGCCTTCACGTAATCGACTGCTTTATCGGCTGTTCCTACAAGCCACGTCCAGCATAACATGGCTGATTATGCCTATGACGTCATCAAGCACCGTCCATTACCTCTCATTCAGAGACACATGTGGGAGCAGGAGACTTATTCCCAACCATTTATGTTCTATCAAATTAGTCAAGTGATTACTCCGATAATTTCTAGAGTAATACATCAATAAATTGCCTATATTTTTGGATATCCCACTTGAGCTGAGACCCAAGATCCTCACCCCAGCCCCAGGTCCATTTGATGTCAGCGGTGGTCACCGCAATGCTCCGCATGGCTGATGTCTCATGTGTCTCCTGCCCAGGCGAGTGTGACAGCCAAGGTCACTCGGTCGCCCTGAAACATATAAGTTGCATTCACTTAAAGGCGGCCCCTGTCTGTCACTGCTGACCGATATGGAGCGGGCGCATTTCATGATTCATTTCCTCATTGACATTCGAGAGCAGTGGGCACGGCGAAAAACCAGATAACCGGGGAGAGGGCGGCGGTGGGAGAGACACAACTTACTTGCACAGTGCGGGTATCGACAACAACGCAACGCGATCAAGATAAGCGTAAAATGTAATCGTCGTAAATAAAGTGCGTAGCGCGCGGGACTAACGGCAGTCTCGTTGCTCCTTCCGCCTCCACCCCGAACCGCCATGACCCATGCTCGTGCCGCCACTCATCTCTTTCACCGCAGCTCTTCCTGTACCAGCTGCTGCGCGGCCTCGCCTACATCCACCAGCGCCGCATCCTGCACCGTGACCTCAAGCCGCAGAACCTGCTCATCAGCGAGACGGGGGAGCTCAAGCTGGCTGATTTCGGTGGGTTCCGGTGGCATCGGTGGGCACAGTCACCGCCGCTGGATGCGTGCCACCGTGACGTGACGGGTGACTTCTATCGACTCCCCTCCCCCCGCCGAGCCAGTGGGGATTTTGCCAAACTCCATTTCTCGTGATCCACCATTGTACAGCACTGCTCCAAGTTCACCGGTTAACGTCGGTTCAAATACACATGAGGTGGTTAAGTGCTGCATTTGCCTGATGATTGCCGAATGAGTCGCACTCAATCTTAGGGAATGCTTTCTATTATGATTGGTCTGCATCATTGCAGCGCAATGCAATTTGGATTTTTATAGTATCTAAATGCGACCACATCTCAAGAGGCTGTACAGAAGCGGTGGGCGTGTTCATGTAATAGAGATAGGCAGTCGTTCATGAGCAGAGGGAAAATGAAGAAAGGTCTTCAGCCTGGACGAGAAAAGGAGAATTGAGTAAACAGCACAGATTGTGGTGTGAAGACAGTTCCATATTATTGGGGCAGTCAGGTCGCTACCGACTGAAGGTGGAGTGGAGGCTTGCAACCACCCACACAAGAACTCTATCTTAACTTGATTCAGCACTTTCTACATCATGTGTACCACGCGCAAACACACACACACAAATCTCTACATTAATTCGATTCAGTGCTCGGTATGTTACGTGGGATGTGTTCATAAATCAGCGGACACATGCAGTAACAGCTTAATCTGTATTTGAATGGATGTAAATTGATATACTCTGAGAGACGTATTGTGGTAGGTCACCCTGAGCCAACACTGCTGTTCTTTAGCCAGACTGACAATTCAATTAGCATTTCCTAGCTTGAGGAATGTTGTTTAAACATGTGGCATAACAACAATAGGTGTCCTATGGAAGAAATCGCCCCTGGCATAACAATGTGGAATTTTCTCTACGGATTCAGGCATATAAACGGAGATGAGCACTTCTTCTTCATATTGGCTGATGATAAAGAGCAATAGCTATAATTTTACACTGAGGCGGTTGAGCCAGATAGTCGCATCAGGAGTAGCCGAGCGGTATCGCTGTGATCCCTCCTTTCCATTTGTGAATCGGGCATTGCGTCGTTTTATGTTCGATGGTCTGTTCTGGGTGATCACGGTAGCACAATGGAGAGTTTTATTCCCACTTATGCATAAAGTTACTGCATTTGCTATGGTTTGTGCGGATTTGGTTTAGGGTGGCACGTAAGCTTCATCGTAGCCAAGGGATCTTCTGCGTCGGGTCTTTCACAAGGTGTTACCCTCCACACTTGCTTCGGTTGGAAACCACTTTGGTTTTTACTAAAGTGTATCGCCCATGACCAAATCACTCCCACTGATGTTGTTAGATCACGGAAGCTGAGCAGGGATTGATCCTAGTTAGCGCTTGTATGATGGGAGACTGCCCGGGATTACCAGGTGTGGTATCTGGGGGGTGGCAGCACAATACAGCAATGCATTCTTGATTATATCTGTGAATATGCTTTGAGTGTAACCCACTCGTATCGTGGATGTATTTTTTGCACGCTTTTATTTAACTAACTCTGTCTGTTGTATCCTCAAATCTTGCAACTCAATTTTAACCCACTTCCCAATGTCGTATCGACTGCAAACTTGGTATACGTATGTCATACTGATGACAATACTATATTCTATCATTAAAAATCTAAATAAATATTTTAAGCAATATTTTTTATATTTTATGTTTCGGCTTGGGTCTAATTGTCCACGCTCAACTGATGTTGGCTGTAAATCACCACGGCACCTTACGTTATGGCAAGCTTCGGGGCCACTTCCTGGAGTCGTGGAGTTCTGCCATTACTCGTACGGTACATTTCATTAAAGCGTGTTTAAAAAAAAATATGTTTAAATATGACTTTATCTCTGGGTACTTTGGTTTCCTCCCAGGCAAAGTCAAACATATGTCAAGGAAATTGTACAAACATTACAATTCAGAATCCCGATGAGTCTTTCCTGGGTGTATAGAGGGCATTATTAATATTATAACTTCGTGAGGAGATCTTTTTCACGTATTTGATGAATAATTAAATTATTTGCACAATATGCCTCATTATTCCTCTTGCTCTTCAGAAGGTGCGAGTTCAGACGAATGTGTGTGCAGCAACGCCGTGCGTTCACAGAGCTGTTATTTAGCGTCAACGTAGAAAACGCCTATTGGTTATTTGTGGCGAAAAAAGAGCAAAAATACTGAGCGCCGAGAAGGATAAAGAGGGCCCTGTTCTGCGAGGCGACCGAACAAACGAGCGATTGAGCGGGCGAGCGAGCAATCGTGGGGTCTCAGGTTTCCAGGAAGCGAGTTTGGGCCCTCACCGATGGAGAAGGCTCCACAAAGGCAGGATTGAGCCCACAGCGTCCTATAGCCCCCCCCCCCTCTACACAGCAGGGCAGTGGGGACATTTTAATTCTTCACAGAAATGCTGCCTTGGAGTAATGGTTGGCACACTGCGCTTGCAATTCAGAAATCGCCGCTTCGATCTCCTCGCTCCACAGTTGATACTAGAGACATGTTTCTTAAATATCAGTACAAATGCATACACCACGGTTAATCGACGATTGGCAGGGTCGGGTGTGGTGGGGCAGTGTGGATACTGCGCCTGACCAGCGTGAAAGAGTAGGCCAAATACCCTCTCTAGGGGCTCTCGAGGGCCTGTTCTTGTGGACGGCCCCTGCCAGAAGCGGCGTCAGCAGGAAATTGCAGGTCTGCGGATTTGCCTTTTAGTCATTAATTATCTACCCAGTGTCTAAGGTAAAACTAATTATGCACCAGTAGCAAAATATGATAATTGGTTTTTTACCCTTTTATCTGGCAACAAAACTGACACCTTTTTTACAAGGAGTCATGTTTGCATTGACCACAATACCTGCAGTCGGAATGCAAAAAAACACAACTCTGATAATGTATGCACTGTCCTTGAAATTGATTGGTCCACATCAATTTCAAGGACAGTGCACACATTATCAGAGTTGTGTTTTTTGTTTGCATTCTGACTGCAGGTATTTTGGTCAATGCAAACATGACTCCTTGTAAAAAAGGTGTCAGTTTTTTTGCCAGATAAAAGGGTAAAAAGACAATTATCATTATTATGCACCAACTGCTTAATTCGAAATATTTCCAAATTATAAGTTTTGAGACATCACATTATAAATGTCTGACTATGAGTCACAATCTTGGTCTCGCTTGCTCTCTTTCCATATTTTTTTGTTCATGAACCGTTGCTCAATCTGTCAGCTAACTTAATGCGCATGATTTAAATTCCAGTTAGCATTAATGTTCGTAAAAAAATTTCGGTCTTTGTTTTTTTTCGGTCGCTGCCAACGCAGCCCACAAAAGTTTACGTGCAATAAATATACACTGACGAAAGAGATTGTTGCATTTTTATTATTCACATTGTTCATAATAATGTGGATATTTGAATGCAAATAGATCACGTAAATCATGTAGATCATGTAAAATGTGTTATTTTAGCCTGCATGAGGTATCATTATAATTGTTTTTGCCAAATTTAGAAATTTCCTGTAAATTACTCCATTGGGATTATAATAGCAATCATTGACCCCTACTGGCAGTCGAATGGCATTTGCAGACCTCTGGTGCTGATTCACCTTGTGCCCACAAGGGACAGCTGCCACTGGGGGTGCCCATTCAAATGTGTTGAGAAGAGAGGTGATGTAAATTGCTATGAGACGCCCTGGGTGTATAGGAAAGCACTATATATATTTTCAAAAATTCATAATTAACTGTGTGGTGCATCTCATGGGCTACTGCGACACGTTCTAATGAGCTGTGTGCCGTGTTCCTCGCGCGCTACTGCTGCTGGTGCTGTCCGCACGTCTGCAGGTTTGGCTCGCGCCAAGTCGGTCCCGAGCCACACATACTCAAACGAGGTGGTGACGCTGTGGTACCGGCCCCCCGACGTTCTGCTGGGCTCCACGGACTACTCCACCTGCCTGGACATGTGGTGGGTGCCACCACCCAGCCTCCACACCACACCACTACTGCTCTGCTGCCCTTCTTGCCAGCACACTCCATGGTTTCTCATTTATTTCCCCATGTGTGCGGCGCAAAACGTATCACACATGGCCTCTGATTTAGCTGTCAAGGAAATCTTTAGATTTTGCCTGTTATTGGTAGCGTTTGCAAGCTATTGAGTCAGGAAAGAAAGTGCTGACTTTTGCAGGGGTTGCACTCGTCTCGCTGTGTCCCACTTCTGTCATGTGCTCCGCATTTTCTTACGCCGGGATGGCAGCTCCCATTTCTCGCAGGTCACCGCACCACGACTTAATCACATAATTGCTCATCTCTGTGCAGCCGTGCGGAACGCCTCCGTTCGTTGTGCACACTCTGCAATGCCAGAGCCAGTGCCAGGACACGTGTGGCTCTAAGGTCTGAAGAATCCCATTTAATTGACCACTAAGGGGATGAAACTGGGGACTAAAATGGCCAAGGAAATGTACTTTCAAAGAGTTATTTGTCATTTTATGAAATCAAGTTGTTGGCTCTTAACACCTGTGTGTGTGTATATGCTTGTAAACAAACTATTTGCAATAACAGGTCTTGTGACCTGTTAAAAATGTATTCATTCGACTGCTGGATGAAGGCCTCCCCACACTGTTGGTCATGGAGGTTGCTTGACCATAAGGTTAGCAGGCTTGTGAGCGAGCGGTGGTGAAGGGTCGTACCAGGACTAGTTCAGATATCTCTCGCCACTGATTTTAGCCATGGCCTGGAATCAAATTCAGTCGGCTGGATTCATAGCGCAGTGTGCGAACCACTTACAAATGTAGGTACTGTGACTCATGTGAGACAAATATATTTGCATTTACCAAACGTCACCAGGTCTTATGAATCGCAGTGGGATGTCATCTGAACAAATAAAAAGTACATTGAATTATTGTTGAATTTGTGAATTCTTCACTGAGTCAAAAGGTGAAACTCAACTAAACCCAGTTTCCTGATCTTCTATTTGTGACCACAAGGGACAGCATTAGTTTTAATTGTCATTTGTTCTAAGGCATAGCAGTAATGAAACATGTTCGTAATTGAGGAATGCATAGAATTGCTGATATTTTCATGCATACAAAGGATGTCCTCCAGTTCTCAATTTCCACTGCAGCCAGTGCATTGGTAAAGCTGAACTTACACATTTGCCAGGCAGTACTCTTACTTTAAAATTCACAGACGATGACAAAATCTTTCGCTGTGGGATTCAGTATTAAATACAGATTCCCGGCTTTGTCACAAATTAATTATCCAATACTTTTACTCTTTTGATAAGGGACTCTGCGCCGCATTATGCTAGTTACTGTATAATTTATTAATGTGATTTAACAAGAAGTTTCATATTCGCAATGTACTTTTTTACGAGAAGATGGAACAAGAATAAATTATTTGCTTGTAAAACACTGCACTATCGGGTGTTGTGTCTGGAATAATCGAGTGATAGGTTGGAGCTTTTCTATTTACCACAGCGGCAGTGTTAATTGGATAGTGTCAGGATAACGGTACAGCCCTTAAATTACTTGCCCATGCCAGTGGAGGTAGACGGACTTCCCTGAGTGGGAGCTCGAGAGCCGCCTTCCAGAGGGTAGTTTCGGCCTACTCTTTCACACTGGCCAGACACCTTAGAAGACGTGCGGGGTGCCTACACTTTACCTCACCACATGTGACGCTTCCCATCGGCCAACTATGGTGAGCCCATTCATACTGTTGGGTGTGAACAGAAACGTTCGCATTGTTCGCAGCAGCAGCAACAGCAGCAGCAGCATCGCCTTCTTTGTAAATAATGAGGTTACAATCTTGAGATGTAAAATGCAGCCCATCAACTGGTTGGAGGGTTGGGCAGGAGGGGGCATTACCAGTGAAGTGGCAACGTGACAGCGTTGGGGTCACCAAGTGGAGGTGGATTGAATTTCTTATACTTCCATTACGTTTGATAGTAAACAACAACACAATAAAACGATTGTACTTGCTCCATCCCAACGTTGTTTATATCCAGAGAGCGGCGCCTGTAATGAACTGCTGCCTGGCCTGTTAAATCCATCTCCCGTCCTCCCTGCCGACCTTCCATCTTGCTCGACACAATTTGCCGACGGCTTCTTTGCAGCCAGACCGGTGGCCTTATCTCTTCAACGTGCAGGCCCTGCAATTGCGCCGGTGCCCACGGGCCAGAGGGGCACAGCAGGCGCTGGGCTACTTCGAAGGGGGGAAGGGGAAATGGGAACTGAGGGTCATAGGTCATTGCTCGCGCCAGCGTCGATGCCAATCGCATTACGTAGCCACTGAGACAGATGCTGAGCGTTAGAGAGGAGTCGCAGTGGGGGTCGCAAAATGCCGATGTATTACTAATAAACCCCAATGATCCGATCGAAATGAGGGATTTTGATCGGATCATTGGGGGGGCACGTACCACCCCCCCCCCCCCCCATTGGCTCTGCCAGTGCACACAAGTAAGAAACGTGGTTTTGACTGTTCATTGAAGTAGATGGGCAAGGGCAGGATATTTTATTGGAAGGGATGATCGCTGGTGGTCGAGACTAGCGATGGAATGACAACCAAAGGATGGAGCAACAGGACGTTTTTTTCCGCGGAGATGGTACAATGAAACCAGCTCGTATGCAGAAGGCCGATGGATTGTTATATCACGAGACTGAGAAACGGCGAGGGCTTGGGGATGCTTTTATCCAACAGTGGATAGATCATGGCTGATGATGACGATGGTGGTGAGTAGTAGATCAGACCCGTCTTTTACTCTGTCGCCAAAAATGACAATATTCAATTTGCAAGGGGTCAGTATTTTGCGCTTTGTCTTGTTATTGTTCGATAAGCAATTAAACTTTATTTATTATAGCGTTTTTCACAATAAAATTGTAACAGAGCGCTTCACATGTAATCATAACTTTGCATCAATACAATTTGAGATGCACAAACTAGTAAAATGTATAATAACAGCAGCTCGGGCTGTATCTGTATGCATGTGTAACAAACGAGGGCTATTGTGCACAAATGCAGTTCTCTGTTGGAGACTCCTTGGTGTAAAGCTTTTATGACAGCGGGTTGCTTTCCATTGTCACGTGGCTGTGTGCACTATGAGGGCGCGCACAGAGAATGAATGGATCTCAGTTTATTCCCATTTGGACTGGAGCGCTATTATATTGGCGCAGGTGTTTGTGCGCTGTGATGAAAATTGAATGGTAAAAAAAATGAAGTAAATGCTTGGACTTTTTTTTGCATGGCGTCTTTGAAATCAGTGTGGCGCCGATGCAGTGAATCACAGCCGTTATACGTGGGCACATGTTACACGTACAAACCACGCTGCTTTGAAAGGTTGCATGATGTGCGTTAGATAAAAATGAAAGATTTAATTACGTGCCAGCTGCTTATTGGATCTTACTCATCCGGTAAATAGAGATAGTCTAATCATCATAGGTCGCATCTGCGCTCATTGTATATATATTAATGATGTTGATTTACTGCCGCCATCATGTGCTCAGAAATATACCAACATGTTTATTCATTAGCTGGTATATCAAAGGGCGTAATGCCTCTGATGTGCATATAATTTGAATTTATGGATGATTTAAACAAAAAAAATCCCATTCCAGACAGTTAAGAATGTTCCAATACATTGAGTCTCAGCAAATTCATCTTCTTGGTTCTTTCGGTAAAGAACCAAGAAGATGAATCCCTGCAGTCACGAAAGCTTTAAATCGAAATAAAATCTCAGCAAATTGTTTTAGAAGTAAATTTTAATTCCCCATGTACTTGAGTCTCAAGTCTCTCTCTCTCAGGCGGGCCCTGCATTGGAATGTTTAGCCAAATCCATCAGTAAGTGTTTGATTTGTTGGAAGTAACCAGACAACCGAGAGAAAACACACACATATGAGGGTGGCACTCAACCACTGCCGTTCCCTGGCAAGCGCGACACAGCCCCATGCCTGCAACCCCTGGCAAGCACTGTTGGTCACCCAAGTATTAAACAAGCTCAAAGCCTGCCTAACTCTAGATATCTGATGAGAATGGGGGCATATAGGGCGATTTGGTCACAGGCAAGAATGACGACAAGTTTGGCCAGTGGTGGTGGGCATCTTGTCATTTGAAAGTGGTCCATTGTGAATGTGTGCAATGGTTCTCGGTCTCAGGACACTACATTGTTTTACTTTCATTATTAAATTAACACCACCATTCCGCGTCGGTGCCGAAGCTGAACTTCAAAGCGGACGACAAAGGAAGGGCTTAAGTTACCAGCAGGGAGCAGAGGGTGGTTGGGGAGGTTGGCGGAGCTTAGTAAAAGTGTGTCCTTGTAAGTCAGTCTTACATGAGCAGTGCAAACTTTTATTAACTCCTTGCCATCACGGACTGACCCACTCCCTGACTCCTTCCTTTGCCCTCCCCTCCACATCTCCTCAACATATCATCATCCCATTTTCATCGTCCATCCCATCCCCCAGCTTTCCTCTTCTCCACGTCATCACGGGAGAAAACAGAAAGTGGGGTGAGGAATGGGGGCGGGGGGCACTTTCTCGTCCGCCTTCTCGTGCTCGTTATGACCCTGGGAATGTTCCACGCCGGAAGCCAGTTGCCGAGTGGCCATCTGTCTTTCATCAGGGTTCAGTGGGAAGAGTTTTGCTTTGTTTAGGACCTAGCGGGGGGTGGTGGGGTGGGGTCACGCTTTTCCGTTGCTCACGTTTTATTTCGCGACAATCCTCATTGCCCTCCACGAATCTTTGCTATTTTACATGTGATTAGAATTGTTATAAACTTACTTTGACCATCGGTTTAGTCGATCGGTTGATTGCAACGCTCAGCTTGCCTTCGTGTATGTTGTTGTACAAAGACGAATAAGGCCTCCTTCTGACTGGAAGGTATCAGGCATTAATGATATTGATAATGACGAGCTGTGTATTACCGATGACCTTTGACTTAGATGGTTTTTATCACAAATTTTCACCATGCTAATACTATTGGATTTTCGACATTTCTGGACTGCGTTTCCTTCATATATATCTTAAATGAAGAGTTTGGTTGAATGGTTTTGTAAAATGGTGAGATATCCATGAAAGTTTTCAGGGAGGCTGGGGGAGGAATTTGAATATTTTGTGAAGTATAGAAATCCCATGGGCATTTTGTAGTTCGTTAGAATAACACTGGTCAACACACTTTTTCTGGCATAAGGTATTCCAACGGTCATAAGGTAATTTTGGAGTGCTGATTCCAAATCTGGCATCAGTTTTTGTCTATAACATCAGGTTTTTGAGATATCAAATATTGCATTTTCAATAAAAACTGCAGAAGAAAAATATTAAATAAATGTGGATATCTACAAAAAATGATATTATAAACACACTATCCTAGAAATACAGCACCATATTTTAACACTAAAGCAGTCACTAACTCGCAACAACTTGCAATCATGAGTGACAGAGTTAATTTCGGGTAAAATAAGTTACAATTAGGTATGCCGATAGCATATAAACGAGATGTGATAGAGCAAATCTGAGATCAGATTTGGAATCGGCACCCTGAAATTAGTCTAAAACAGCTGCAAAAGTCCAGGCCAGAAATTTTTTGTTGTTGACCAGTGTAATACACAGCTGCGTAATAACAACACTAACATTTGGGTTTCGCTGTGGCAGAAGTGAGATCCACAAGGTGGCGGTATTGGCATTCAATGCCTCTCGCTTTTTGAACCAAGTCTTCCTTGACTGTACTCCTACAATAGCTTTTATTTCCATATGCAGTACAGTGCGAGCCACGCAATTGACTTGCTTTGCAATAGTTTAACACGTAGGCTTTCGCGACTAATATTATTTATAATAAAGGTTTTTTTTGGGTGAGATCGTGTTTTATATGCAGAGCCCACGTGAGATTTAGTGGTGAATGAATGAAGCAACACGCGGTTGCAAACTCCCCTCGGCGAGAATGTGGAAGACTCAACAATTGTGCGACACATTTATACTTAACGCGATCTAACCCAAAAGCCTTTATTACGAATAATACTTGTCGCGAAAGAACCCGTGTTAAAACGAATTGTGAGCTCGTGCTAACAAAATGATTATCATTATACACGGTCCGTTGCCAATCCACCGCCTTCCTTCCATGTGTAGAGGTGTTACACATGTATCTCAGGGTCACTGGACTTGTTTCACACTACACTTCAATCACGCTCTTATCGGTGCAGGTTTGGACACGTTGACCCCTGGCTGATGTTAGGCCCTGCGTGAGAATTCAACTCCGGGTTGGCTGGGTTCACGAAGCAACTCTTGCCGTCGCTTCCCCCATGCCCCCCCGACCATCTCGAACCTTTGGTTCAAACTCTGTAGATTGTGCCGTCGGCTGTCTCTCGTTGACTCTCGACTCGCTTGTTGCACCCCCCCCCCCACCCTCTCGCAGGGGCGTGGGCTGCATATTCGTGGAGATGATTCAAGGCAGTGCTGCCTTCCCCGGACTCAAGGACATTCAGGACCAGCTGGAGAGGATCTGGATGGTGAGAACCCCAAAGAAACGCGCTGGCCAAACGAGTCGTGCAGTACGCTCTCGTGTTGCGTTGGTGCCATTGGTGCACAGTGAGTGAAATGTTGAACGTGAAGAGGGTGTGGAGTGTGCCCCACACTTTACCCCAACTGCGTGTGGACCTGCCGAGCCGATTGAGGTGCTGCACCTCAATCAGCTGCTGGGTGGACAAGTGGCGTGTGGCAGAGGTTGGATTTTAGATACTTGCACGTTGTTAAAACTGCCATGCCGGGAGATCAGATCGAACCGGCGACATCTGCATTGCGAATCCGGTGTGTTCACCATTGCACCGTAGCAGCGACCCGCTGACGACGATACATTTTTTTATGAATGTATCATTCCATTCTGCGTGCTATTTCATTCCACCCAACGTCAGTCACCCCTCGCTGCCTGGCCCGTGGTGGCCGCTGAGTCGGCGGCGTTGCTGCTGCGTTAACGTCGAGCCCGGAGATTGGTGTGTTTGAAACCGGTGACCTGTAATTAAATTCGTCCCATTCATACCCGTACCGTGTCAACTCATACGGTTCACCCCATATGCTTGGTCGGAGAAATTGAGTTTTCAGGTCCACACGGTGTACAGCCGTTTCAATACGGGCAAAACTATTATGTTTGTCTATGTTTGTGTTTCTCCCTTGTGATGGGACTTTGTAGGATGAACGTTGAGAATTATAAGGGCACGGGGTGACCAATAAGGTCTGAATTAGTCTGTAATAAGGTAGGCACTGATAAGGGGTTGACAGGTATGCTGACCTGATGGGTGTACTTCTACCCCACCCCGCACCCTCCCGCACACGATGCAGATATCAATGGCAATTTGGAGTAAATCAGCGCAGATTAGAGGGAGGTTTAATCTGCCAATACTATACTTTAATTAATTTTTTCTTGCATTTTAATTCCGTCCCCTGCCAATTACATCCCACTTTTGTGGTTATGACGAAATCACCCACCCGGCCTTGTCAACTCTCGGAAGCTAAGCAGGTTTTGAGCCTGGTTTGTGCTTGGATGAGCGATCACCATGGACGTCAGGTTGTGTCATGGGCACCTATAGCATTGTGCCGTGTAGTGGTCAACAAAGGGCAGTTCAGCAAATTAAATGTTTGTATTTCGCTTTAATTTCCCTACGTCTATGCTCCTCTCACCAACCCGCGCTGACCGGCAAGGTGAAGTATGGTCCAATAACTACCATGATGTGGGGAAGCCTTCATACAGCAGTGAATTGACAAAAGCAATATAGCATCACCTAATGTTAGAATAGTCTGTATAAGATTGCACTAAAACTATTCAAAACTAAACTTTTTTTTATTGTATCAGGTAAGGTCGATTTAGCTATACAGCTCTTTTTCAAAAGCGACCTGGCCACAAATGATAGCTCAACGAAAGTGACTTATCACGTGCAAATATATAGGAGCCAAATACTTTAAACACGTGTTTCCAAATCTGGAGGGATAAAACGGAGGACCCGGAGAAAAAAATCCACGCGACCACGGGAAGAACATCCAAGCCCCAAATATACAGGCGTCAGGATCGGGATCGAATCCACAACCTCCTGTATACCAGGCGAGGGAGTTAACATCTCACCAACGTGGGGTACTAGATGGTGTACCATCTCGATTGCACTGCTGTAAATGCGTTTGTCCCATGACAATTCAAAATTATAATTTGTTGGAGTTCTGAAAGCTCAGATATGCCAATGTAAGTAAAAACCCATATACTACAGTCGTGGTAGACTGAGCTGAGACCGTCAACATAATTTTTTACCAAAAACTGATTAAAACAGAAACTCATTAAACCAGAATTTAGGAACTGGTTTAATCACTCGTGGATAACCAATTTGAACCAAGGATCTCACTAGCGTTTTAACAGGATTCTTCTTCTGTGCCACCTGGCGACTTATTCAAAGGTTTGAAATGCAAAGTTGTGTTGCCAATTTATTTTTGCAAATATGCGTGACCAATGGAGCGTGATGCTGCCCTCTCCTGGTTTATGAATATAAAACCCAGAAGGCTTCTGCCGTGAGACCACAAAATGTTGAAACCTCACCATGTGGCTGGTAAATCGAAAATGTTTGTTTTTAAATATCTAACTATTTGTTTACGTTTTTACATTGCAAGTTTGTTTTATTATAACAGCTGTAATGTATTGTGCTATAGCTTCTGGTGTTTTTTTAATGCACAAAGGAAAACTAGCATTTGAGGCTGAATATATTGTGCAAATGTTGCTGGTGATAGACAAAGAAATATTTTCATTCTGGAAATATATACTGTACGCACACACCCACACACACATGCGCACAGTAAAATAAATTACAGTGCTTCATTTCAACCGACGGGGGGAAAAAAATAATTCTAATTTGAATATAAACATGAAAATGCCATTTTAGATATGACTACTCTTAAATTAATTTCACCTGCAGCCATCATTTCATTTACTGAAGAGCGGGGCCATCATACTGCATTCATTCTATGATGACAAAAGCCAATCACGTGAGCGTGTCTCTATCCCAGGTGCTGGGGACCCCGAGCGAGGACAGCTGGCCGGGTTTAAAGTCGATGCCTCATTTCAAAGCAGGTGAGGAGCGGCGTGTGTCGTCTGGCTGCGTGTATCTGTGTCGCGGCGCTCCCACTGTATTCTGGTCTTGTAACAGATTCATCAAGCATGATACACGCGTTGAGTCGTGTGTGTGTGTGTGAGAATCACAAGTTTAGATTAGTGGCAAAAACATATTTTACACAGGTGGAAAAATTAGACGAAACTATTGAGACAGAATCAATGAAACAGCAAAGGAGATAAATGGTGATAAACGAAGAGAGAATAACACAGCACAGCCAGTAAAAAAATATAAACATAGTACATGAAGTACAGATGAGACCAACCCAACAAAACTGTGGCCGTCTGGAATGCTGTTCCGATATTAGGAAGCCACTGGAGCGTTGCACCTTTAAATCTAGATTGAAAACTTATTTTTTAAGAACTTATTTTTTCGTGTTTAGTTTGTTGTCCTTCCCCCGCACCTCCACTTAGCGCGGTTGGCTAAACACAGTGTGAAATAAGTTCAACATACATACATACATTCAAGTGAAATGAACAGTACAGTACATACGAGACGGTTAAAGAGATTCTATAATGCAATCGTGACCCTGAATTGTGAAAATCCATCCAATCACAAGGAGGGAGCGGGAGTTATGCTTCCTTTCTGTGTTCAGCGTCCTTCCGTACATGACCACCACAAGCAGAGACTGAGACAATGAGCCTCGCATACCGAAAGCCCTCGGGTGATCCCTCGGAGTATGGCAGTCATGACACATATCACAAGTCTCACCTCCTTTAGCGCATGATTAGGTGAATTGTCATCGTTCGAGGTCACGATTCAAATGGCTCTTTTTGTCTCATTTTAACTGTGTCGACTGTATCATGTCTCAATTATGCTGCCCAAGCTGTGTTGTTTGTACCATGCTGTTGTTGTTAGTCCCATTCGTTATGTTTAATTATAACGAGATAATTTGCATATAGCTTGCATAAATTGAGATTTATCCTCGGCAAACTTGACAACCCACATCACCTCATTGTCAAGAAAGTGCCCTTTTTTGAGAGTATGCAGATTGGCTATAAACTTTTTACAGGACACCCCCCGCCCCCCCCCCCAATTGCAAAGGATTAATTCGTATGCCCTCTTGTTTCGTTCATACATCATGAGCGTAATCATTCTAATTGATACATTTGTTATTTGATACATTGGTTGGTAGACAAGTGAGCGGTATCGATTTAAAACATCGGTTTCTGTTTTGCTTTAAGAAGGACACTTAGAATGGAGTTGTCCATTCTGAGCCTCCTCCGTCTCCAGGCGGAGTTTTTATTTGAGCCTCGGAAGCCACAAATGTTTTCTTTAAAAATAAGAGGATGTGCATGGGTGGGTTTATTTTAACGCAGGGTTTATGTACACTAATTAAAGTGCTCCACCAACAAAAACAACGTAATGTAATTGTGGCAAGGGGTTATGTTTTATAAGTGTTTCTTAATGCTGATTCGTGGCATGTTTATTTTATTGCTTTTGCAAATGTCATTTGTATGTATTTATGCAGTATTTAATGCATATTTCCAGATCCACTTGAATGTGCTTGATCTCATCAGATCTCACAAGCTAAGCAGGGTTAGTAGTTGGATGGGTGACCATCGTGCACAGGTTGTCATAGGGCTGCGGAAATACGTTGTGAGCAGCAGAGGGCAGTGCATAAAAACGCCTTTTACCATGCTTTTATATCCCCACATCGATGTTACCCCACCATCACCAAACCATGCTAACCAGCGTAATGAGGTTGGGTAAAATAACCCCTCTGACCCACACGGCATCGGGAGGTCTTCACCCAGCAAAGGACTGACAAAAGGGTTGTACATGTTCATTGTCTAACACAAGTTCGGTGGGTAGCCACATAACCACAGGCACTCTCATAATTGTTTTGCAGTATTGTAGTTTACAACACAAATAGGCTATCCGTGAGTTGGGAAGTTTTGGAAGTGGCATTTATTTAATGTCCATATCTTTGCCTTTACTGCCGTAAATATATTCACCAGCAAAATGTTTTGGATACTTTTTTGTGGCCCCCGCCACTAGAGGGCAACAGATTTATAAACGCTGCTCTCAAAGCCCGGGCTTTTCCAGAAAAAAAATATTCCGCTGAAATCGAGACCAACAAAACACACTGTTTTGTCAAGGTTCTCAAGTAAACAAGCTGTAAAGTCTCACAGAGAAGGCCACATTTTTGCATTTGTTGGCTTAAATGTGTAAAACGGTCAACACCTTCACTCTCGGAATTCCAGCATTGCCGCCAAAACTTTCTTGCCAAATACGCGCCGCATCCAGCACAGCCCGTGGGTTTGTCAGATCTGTCAAGAAAGCCGACAGCGAAACGTAACTGAACCAACGGAATTAGAATGAAAAATTACACCGTTGTTCTTTCATCGGGGAAAACATTGAGGCGCATACTTTAGGCCAAACCCCCCCCCCCCCCCCCCCCCACATAGACTTTTTAATTGTACATTTTTCAACCGTGACTTTGTTCATATGATCAACGCTCTGTTTTCCAGAGGAAGCCTAAAAGCTGCATCCCGTGATTACGATCTGCAGCGCTGCACTTATTGTGAAAGGGGCCTCCCTGCCGCTTCTCGCATTCCACCTCCCCCAAAAAGAAGGGGATGATGAATGATGTCACGAAAGTTATGACACAGAAACGGCTGCCGCTGAAAGCAGCTCGGTCTTCTAATGAATGCTTTACAGTCGTTCGGAATGGCCCGTTGGTAAAGGCAATACTGAACCTCCGGCCAGCCGCCCTGGGGGCTCGGTCTTTTGGGTGTTTCTTTGCACGCGTGGTGGCCGCCTGTGAAAATAAACGAAGCTTGCAGGAAGAGCTTAGTTTGCCGGTTGTCTGTAATTTTCTCCGATACCCTGGTATAAACAGCCGGCGCAGAACGGAGGGATTGCAGATGACGTGCGATGTTTCCCAAAACGTTTGACTTAATCCTTTCGCAGCCTCCAGTGATGAACCAGTCAAGACGACCAGAGGCAATGAGCCGATAAAAGAGCGGGCTCGAAATCCTCGTGCAGATATCCCAGCGCTGAAGCGCCAAAAACCTATTTCAGACAACGCATATATTCACTGTATTTTGGTGTGATTTATTTAACTGGGTAAAAATAAACTCCGGTTGTGAACTGCAATAGCATTACAAACAAAACTTTCCACGGTGCCGTCCGTTCAATTTGTGAAGTTGACGTGGGGGATTTTTCGTGATTTTCTTTTACGTTTCAAAAATTACTTTGAATTGCCATTTGAAAAGGGGGATGCAGTCCTGCCGGCTTATCGCGCAGCCAGTCATTGTGACGGACGTGATTATTGGGCGCCGCGGTGGCCGAGATGTTAACTCCCTCGTCTGATATGCAGGAGGTTGTGGGTTCAATTCCAACCCTGACGCCTGTGTATTTGGAGTTTGCGTCTGTGTCCCCGTGGTCATGTGGATTTTCCTCCGGGTCCTCCAGTTTTTCCCTCCACATCTAAAAACATGCATTTAGAGATTTTGGCTGCTACAAATTCCCACATGATAAGCCACTTTGTTGAGCTATCATTTGTGGCCAGGTTCCTTCAGAAAAATAGCTACATAGCTCAGTGGGTCTTATCTGGTAAAATACCAATTTTTAGTTTAGATGTGCTTTCGTCGTCGTTTAAATGCACGCTCATTTGTATCGTGCTCTCGGCTCCGTTGTTTTATTTTCGGTCGCTTTATCGCGACTAAATCTCCCATCGAGGTAGATTTCAGCGGCAGTGCTGGAGCCGGCTCGCCTGCATCTGCTCTGCGGGAAGACCGTTGCACATATAGATCGTGCTGATTACTTCAACGCAGGGGTTTCTTTCCTTCTCGTCATGTGTTTATCACAGCAGCTGTTTCCGTAGATGCGCTCAGATTGCGAGCAGGTCACGAGGGGAATATCGCAATCTTGTAATGAACGTATGTAGATCAATTTCTCGACAGGAGCATCTTGTTTTTTTATTACGAGAGAAAATCGAGGATTACCGTAATTGCATTACACTGTGTATCACAGACAGTTATTGTATGTGCTTAAAAATATATTAAACTTCATATATTAGTGGCTGGTGAAGGGTGGCGACCCAGCACCAGGGCTTTTAGCTATGGCTGGGAATCAAACTCATGGTGCAGTGCGCTATTAAATTGTATAAGAGTTCTTGAGCCTTCTTCTTGGTTCTTGGCAGAGGTGGGACAAAGTCATTGTTATGCAAGTCCAAGTCGAGTCTGAAGTCATCAAATTCATGACTCGAGTCTTACTCGAGTCCAAGTCACGTGACTCGAGTCCACACCTCAGAGGTGAGACAAAGTCATTGTTATGCAAGTCCAAGTCGAGTCTGAAGTCATCAAATTCATGACTCGAGTCTGACTCGAGTCCAAGTTACATGACTCGAGTCCACACCTCTGGTTCTTGGTTCTTGAGCCATTTTCACGATGGGCCACGTGTGTAATGCATTAAACGCTGGTCGTTGAAGTCTTTCCAAACTAAAACCATGATGTTCATTTTGCAGATCGAAACCCGCAATTCAAGCCCAAGAGTCTGGGAAAGGCTTGGACCAAGTAAGTTCTACATGTCGCTGTAAATTCTTGCTATAAACACATTAATTCAGCACAGTTCTGATATAAGCAATGCTTCCTTTTACATTCCATTCTTGGGGGAAGATAGAGGACAAATTCAGATATAAGTACAGCACCTTGGATATAATCACACCTGGCGAGTCCAATAGGGTGTACATATTCTTCTACTGTACTAAATATACATGTAATGATGTTTCAATCAATTAATTTCACGTACTTTTATTCTCACAATGTATACATCAAATAATGTTGCATTGTAATCAGTTATTTACATTCCATGCAAATGATTGTAAACGCTAAGTGAATGTTCCATTTAGGATAACGGAGCAAACACAACTATACAAAAGAGGCAGAAAACAGTGATGAATAACGTAAAGAAGGTGGCAAAAAATGAACACACGAAAATAATAGATTTTTTGGGATAATTTTGACAATGAATTGTGACTTTTAAATTTGGATGAATTGTGACATCAATTAGTTGCAAGCTTCTGACTGAATCAAAAGATAAAGATCCCCCGTGTAGCCCTTAACAGACTTTTGGGGCAAATGCTGTTAGCGAGCACGGCACATAAGAGGGTGGGTGGCCAGCACCAAGCCTGGTCGCCATTGTCTCCCCATTGGCAATGTTTACATACTGCAACAGTTACTCATTTGATGCTGAGTTGACCTAGGGGAGGCCCAGGGCCAGTTCAGAGAATCCTCACTGGTATCGACTGTGAGTGGGAATCCAACTTGGGTCGCCTGGTTTGTAGCGCAGCACGCTAACTTGTTACACAAACGCTCCCCTACCCCACTGATCCACAAACACACACACGCACACGAGCTGAGCGGAGAGCTGGCCAAAAGTGGGACACGTCTTGCAATTCATTGTCCGTTTTTCTTTCTTTAAGCCGAAATTTTTAATGGGAGGGAAAACTGGCACGTCGTTTAAAAAGCATTATTTTCTCACATTTGGCAGCGGATTTGCAACATGTGTCCTTGTGCTTCTATGGGCCGGTTTGGCACCACGCATTGTCCGCTGAATCATACGAATCCCAGGAAACCTTTTGACAATTTATGAGAATGGGTTTTCGTTTACTGAAATGTGCAGTTGTGAGTAATGCTTATTAAGAGTGAAAAAATCCACCCGTTCGAGTTCACAAACGCTTGTAAACAAACGCACATGTGCTCGTTTACGCTTCGCCAGAGCGAGCATTCAAATAACCCTTGAAACTCCACCCACTCCTGTTTTTTATGTTTTGCGCCTTCAACAAAAAACTGTGCTCATTTTAATTGGAATGCGCTCATCTGCACGCATGCAACAAACATTGTGTGGTGGGGCGGGGTGGGGGAGATGGCCTTGCGTGGCACACATTCAATTTGTCGGAACGATCAAAAAGCTTCGTTGCTCCATCCCAGAGGGCAGGAGATGCCGGGTAACTCCCTAGCCGCTTTGAAAGTGAAGCTGTTTACGGGCACCGGGAACATTCATGCTCGCACTTGCAGGCTCGCACAACGGAATTGGACAGAGTGATTGGCGAGCACGCGTCGCCGGCTCTCATCTCCCCCAACACTGCTCCGCCAGACGTGTGAAGGACGCGACTGCGTTTCATCAGCCAGAAAGATGGCGTGGGTGTGCACGGATGAACTTTGAAGTGGTTGAACGTGCACCTCGCCTTGTTTTTGCCCCCAAGTGCGCGAAACGCCCTCGCAATAAGGGGGCAGTTTGTCAGGAATATAAAGCAATTCAAAGGTACATTACAAACGCAGCACCCGATGTCAATCGCTGCTGGGTGAGGGCCTCTCCGTGTTTGGGCTGTGGCGGTTATTGGATCATACTTCACCAAGCTGGTGAGTGCGTGTTGGTGAAGGAAAAGGGCATAGGTGGGGGAAGTACAGTACAAGAATGGGGTTTGTAACATCATGGGACTTATTTTTGCCAGTATTAAAGTATGAAAAATAAGAATAGGTTTTACCCTTTTAAGAAATAACAGGGTTTCTTACACTTCCCACAGAGTGGTCTATAAGAGCCTCTTATAGGCTTATAGCAGTGATTGCCCATCCAAGTGCTAGCCAGGCTCAGACCTGCTTAACTTCCGAGATCTGACAAGATAGGCCGCATTTATAGATGATTTGGTCATAAGCCTAATTGTGCACGATATACTTATAATCTTTAACGCACATCCAGCAAAGGGGAAATCTGGCATTATCCAGCAGTGACGCTAATTGCGTTCGCCATGCAGATGCTCCATGAGCGTTAAGTAGGTAGATCTCCCCACTTCAATGAGTAGGGGCATCCCACTGGGTAGCGGTGTCACTGTGGCTCGGCCGGGAAGAAACGATCCAGTCTACGTTGTGCAATGCACCGCAGCTGGCGAAGGGGGCTCGTGTCACTTTAACGGTGCCCCCCATCCCACTGAGTGTGCGCGTGTGAGCTCATACACAAGCGTGGGGAGATCTTCCAACATATTCTTAGGTTTTTTCGGTAAAGTCACGTAGGTAAAAAATTAAAATTAATAAAAGTAAAATAAAAAAAATCACGACGTTTCGGAGGCAACACAAGCTTTATTTTACCTACGTGACTTTACCGAAAAAACCTAAGAATATGAATCCTTGCAGTCACGAAAGCTTCAAATCTAGATCTTCCAACACTGCGCCCTGTTAGGTGGCCACCTGTTGAGGGAACATCACAAAGCTGGTATCAGATCGCCGATGACTGGCTCTGGGAGTGCTTCCTTGCCCGTGCGACGTGACAAGTTGTTGACGGTGTGAAGGCCGCTCTTAACTCACGTGGTGTCCCGGGCGAATACAAATTGTCGTGCCCGTAGGGGACCCCGGTGGAAGGGTGGTTTGGTGGAAGAAGTTTGTGGTGGGTTTTGTCCCTCTGTGCATCTCCTTTTCTCCGTGGCTGTATTCCTCTGTGTCTCTATTCGGTTCAACGGGCATCATCTCTCGTTCTAGATTTGAAGCTTTCGTGACTGCAAGGATTCATATTCTTAGGTTTTTTCGGTAAAGTCACGTAGGTAAAAAATTAAAATTAATAAAAGTAAAATCAAAATCACGACGTTTCGGAGGCAACACAAGCTTCCGTCTTCAGGTGGAACCGTCACAGCACGATTGCTGTATCAAGTGAGAGGAAGCTTGTGTTGCATCCGAAACGTCGTGATTTTTATTTATTTATTTTTATTTTACTTTTATTAATTTTAATTTTTTACCTACGTGACTTTACCGAAAAAACCTAAGAATATCATCTCTCGTGTCTCTCGCCTCATGAATTTGCAGTACTCCTTGCGGCTTTATGCCAAAGGTGGCCACTCTTATCGCCCACCTGTAAGGCCAGGCATTGGAAGTAGTGGTGCACGGCAATAATCGATTAATTCATTTAAAATCGAGTCTTATGTCCATGTTATCTGTGTAAATTCATGTGGGTGATAGTCAATTATTGTTAATTTGCATACCTTTTAGGCATTTGGTTCAAGTAAACCCGGCTGCCATTGGATGTCCCACATTTCCTGCAGTAGAAATGAAATAATCGATTTGTGATTATTCATCGCAAGGAAGTCAAATTGTAACAGGCTTTATAGTACAGTACACATACAATACAAGATACAGCATTTGTTTAATCCTTTTTCTTGCTTTCAAACAGTTTAGTTAGCTACCATAACTGCGAAGGATAGTTTTCATGTGTTCAGTGTCGGTGGCCTCAGCTAGATTCGCGGCCATGGCTAACATCAGTGGCAAGCAGTTTCTGAACTTGTCCCTGTGCCTTTGGTGTGGTTTGCAAACATCGGAGACAAATGAACAAGCATGGCACCGACTCCTTCGTTACCGACTGTGTGTTCGGCATGCGCTATTACTGCTGGATGTAAAGTACTATATTTGCCTAATTTAAAAAAATTTGCTTCGAATACATGCTGCACATATGCACCAACATAAGTATGTGTGTACTGTATATATATGCATCAGCTGAGGCATTATGAACTGGTGCGTGTGAATGGCATGAGTCAAGCTTGCACAGCCTAAATCCCATAGTGCATTCACTTGCCAAATGTTGTGTGAAAAAAGATTAATGTGAAGCACATGAGCACCTGGCCAAACAATAGGACTGACAGAGGAAATGACAGGTGAAATGCCTTATTGCCTTATCCGGTATCAATCTGTCCAGCAGTTTAACTCAATCTGTCCAACACCAGTGAAATCAGGTGGGAAATGGTTTGACATGAGTAGAAATGTACAGTTAATAATGTCAGATTACTTTGATTTGCAGCAACATTTTTTTCGTGTTCTTGCAGTGATTTAAGGCACTTGCTGACAACCCTCTTACAGACGCTGCCCTCTGACGCCGCTCTTGAGATGTGAGCGCCAACGACACTCGCCCATTGCTTCATCTGCCAGGTGCGGCAGCTGAAACAATGGGCCAAGTTTCTTCAGCCGGACCCGCCTCTTTCCACCTATTGCCTCCGATGAGTGCGGTTGGCTACGTGCGGTGCGAAAGAAGTTCAACATACGTGCATACACCTAGCAACGTGGACGGGTTCACCGCGGTTAGTCGACCGCTGGGTTACGTGTGGTAGAATATGAGTACACTCGCCTCTTCCAAGGCAACTGAACAGCATGGAAGAGTAGGCCAAAACACCCCTCCCCTAGAGGGACTCTCTAGAGCTCCCTCTAGTGGAGGTGCTTCCACATGCACTGGCATGAGCAAGCAATGTCAGGGGTGCAACTTTTCCTTGACTTTTAGTCCCAGCCAAATGGATAAAAGGATAGGCAGGAGTGGTGGGCTAATCTCGTGCCCTGAAGGTAGCAAGCAACTCACTGCGTTATAAATATATGTATATTTAATAAAGGTACCCAAACTATTTAAGAGTCCCTTCGTCAAACTGTGAAATCTGTTGCTGAAGGGCACTGAGCATGCTTGTGAACATCTTTCGCTTTTCTGATAAAACCTCAGCTAGATCAAAGATTTGTTTTCTTGGATCATTGTGAAGGGTTGACTCTTAACT